GGTGGCCAGTCTCTCAAAAAAAAAAAAAAAAAAAACAGCAACAAGGGGTTTTTCTCTACTGCTGGTTCCACATTTCCAGCAACATGTGGTGTTCCAGGAGGCCAGCTCAGGGGATGGTCTCAGTCCAGATGAAGTCACTGCCCAGGCTCAGCAGGTGGCAGGCACTCAGTGCACTCCCAAAAGTTACCTTTTTTAATCCTCACAAGAACCCTGCCAGGTAGGTACTATTATGCCCATTTGGGGGCTGGGATGTAGGCTCAGAGAAGAATAGTAGTATAGGACCTGGACTGAGATTTCATGGAATGGTGGCATGGGCAAGTGAAGAAGAGGAAAGGACCACCACCCTAAGATCCCAGCTCCCAAGGGAAGGAAAACTGGAGTGAATTCTGGCCACAGGCCTAGGGTTACGGATGTGAATTGGAGGTTGAAAGTAGAGGATGATTCTCCCAAGAGCCAATCCTTGCCTGAATCAGCTGCTTGGAATTGAGGCCCTCACTGACAAAGCTTCCAAGAGCCTCTCTTTACCCATCCTGAGCTGATAGACATCAAGCTTTGTCAGTGGTGAGGACCCTCAGCAAGGGGACAGCAACATCACCACCACTGACATAAACAAAGAGGACCACCAACTCACCCCCAGCAGCCTCTTCTTGCTCTTTCTTACAGGAACAGAGCAAGGAAGAGGGAGGGGTGTGTGAAACAAAGGACCACCCCTACACACACACATGCACACACATGCACATGTATGTTCATGTGCACACAGAGCACACACATGCATTCACACACACACACAGGTGCATGCCCACATGTACACACGTTTGTGCAAAGGTGCACACATGTGTGCCCACAAATGCATGTATGCACATGCACACAGACACATGCACGCACATGCGCACACACACGCGCACACACACACGCTTGCTTGCTTGCTTGCTTGCTTGCTTGACTCTCCCACAATTCTTTATGCCTTCCAGAATGTGCAGTGTCCTCTCAAGCTTATATGCCTTAGCTTGTCATGTCCTCTCCGTGTAGGATACCTTTCCTCTCTCTGTTTGCCGAACTCCTATTCATACTTCAAAACCAAGCTCAAGCACCTCTACTGTCGAGTGCTCTCTGTGTTCTCATATGCCCCAAAATGTAAGCACTTTCTATGTCTCCCAGCACTTCCTGCAGCACAATTTTACACTGATTTGATCGGAAGGAGATAAAAACTAGGAAGATGCAAAAAAGGGACGAGAGGGAAATTTTTCACTGTGCATATTTTTTATATTGATTGATTTTTGAACCATGTGAATGTATTTCCTATATGAAGAAAATTAAAAATACAATATGATAAAATACAAGGATTGTTCTAGCTACTGTGTGGAGTACTCCTCAGCTACAAAAAAGGAAGGAATTATTGATACACAAAACAACATGAACTAATCTCAAAAATATAAAAAGCAGATCAGTGGTTTTCTGGGATATGTGGAGGGTGAAAGATTGACTGAGAAAAGGCATCCAGAGAATTTCTTGGAGTGATGGAATGTTCTGTATCTTCATCTCAGTGTGGTTGCACAGGTGTACACATGGGTCAAGACTCAGTGTACTATACACTTTAAACATGTGTATTGTATTCCACATAAATTATACCTCAATAAAGTTGATTGAAAAATAATGTAGGCAAAAGAAAATCCAAAGGTATCTGGGGCTTAGAGTTGTGCAATGCAACCATTGTATTTGTGACCCAACTTAAGATGGGCTTGCAGGATCTAAGTGGAGAACGGTGGATTCCACGCAGCTAGAGTGAAGGGCTTGAGCAGGCTGGGACAGGGAAGATCCTGTTGGGGAGATGTATTGCAGCCAAGTTGCGGTGGCCTTCACTGCCAGACTGGTGTTTAGACTTCAGTCTGTAGATAATGAGGAATGAATGGGCAATGTTCAGCTGGAGAGAGGCATTGCAGGGAGGCTCGTCTGGCAGCATTGGGCTTGGAAGAGGAAGAGATTGGAGGTGTGGCAACACTTCCGTTACTCTCAGGCCACACATAAACCTCAGTTTCATAAGCAACCTTTTCCCTATCTTGAGTTGCTGGAAACTGGATTGTCCAAAGCCCTGAACTTTCACAGGCCCTTCCCCTCCCCATCTGGCTCGATTCCTTATTTGGCCCCTGGCTTTATAAGCACCTCAATCTCTGCTGTCATCTTCAGTAAGAGAGATTCCTACAAAGAGATTCTGACCAAACTCTGCCCAGGAAAGATTAGAGGACAAGGATGATGACCAGACTGTACTGTGTGGTAGTGGCCCTACTGCTGCTGGCAGAGGTCTGCAGGTTTGGAGAAGGGGCCTCTAATCCTGGGATCTTGGCCAGGATCACTAGAAAAGGCCTGGAATACGGTAAGGGGACTTGGTCATTCCTTATGGTGCCCATTGTTGCCCTCCAGAATGACGTGGTAACAAGGACAAGGAGTCACAGGCTGGGGTTCTGCCACTGCCTGGCCTAGAAAACTTGAATATGTCACCCTCTGGGCTTCAGTTTCCCCATCATGAATATCAGAGGGTAAATATAAAAGTAGATCAGCATTTTTCCCACATTAGAATTGCTGAGATAATGTTAAAACATAGATTCTGGGGATCCACCCAAGATTGACTGAGATTGTGCCTAGGAATCTGCATTGCTAACATATGGCCCAGGCAATAGTGAAAAACCCTAAAGTTTGACCACACTGCAGCAAATGATTCCTCAGAAGCCCCCCTGTATTCCGTCATTGTTTCCAAGATCTTGCTGAATGAATAAATAACAATGATTACCATTTACCAGGCACTTTGAGTTCATGATCAATTTTAATTCTCAGGCTCAAGTCAATATCATTATTGTTACCATTTAACAGATGGTAAAACTGAGGCTTGGACAATTTAAGGGACTTGCCTGGGATTACACCAATAGTAAGTGGGAAATCCTACATATAATCCCAGTGCAAGTAATTCAAAAGTCCAGCCACCCAACTGTTATGCTAAGCTATCTCCCAATGAATGAACTAACTCAAAGATCTTTTTCTCCCCAGCCCACCAGTATGGAGTTGCCATCCTGAAGAAGGAGTTGTCTACCATCAGATTACCTGATATCTCAGGAAGTTTTCAGATTGGTTGGGTTGGAAGTGTGAGCCACGAGTTTCACAGGTGAGGTCTCCTTTCTCCATCACAGGCACAGCAAAGGAGGAAGGACAGGGGCTCACAGGGGAAGGGGATGAACATGAAGTTATTACTTGGACTAAAGACAGAGGGATCATGACCAATTCTTGTGAAGTAGACAAATTCCTTGTCCTCCACTTATATTAATCCTTGTTTTAGTTTTACAGCTAAAATATGCTTCTTGTAAGGAATATCTAAAGGTTATGTAAAGGGTTAACAGCTGAATGCATTTCTAAGCTCCATGACTCTGCAGTTTGCAACTTGTCAGCTCTTCCTGTATGGATGAGAGACTAGGTTGCTCTCTAGCTCGAGTTGCAGAAAGCCCCTTAACCACATCCCCCAGCTCCGTGACCCAGTTTTGCCCACCTGGTGAAGCCCCTTACCCAAAGCCCCTTACCCACCTTTAACCACCTGGCAAAGACCCCAATTTGGGTGACTCTGCCTGGATACAGACAGAGCCAATAGAAAAGCTTGCTTGCTTGCTCAAGAAAGGTATATAACCCCAGTTCTCCCTGCATTCTGGGCCCAGGTTTTCTGAACATGAGTTTGCCTGGGACTGCTAGCATAATAAATCATCTGCCTTCTCCGTTTCTCTGAGTGTCTGTGTTTTCCTTGGCGACTTTTTCTGTAACACTTGTGGGGCTTCTGGAAGGTGTTATGCATTTCTTGAATCATCAGGGTAAAAGAGAGACCCTTAGAAACCATTCACCAGCTTCTAGGTCAATCCTGCAGAGACTGTAGCCCTGGAGAGGTTGTCTGGCAGGAGCTGGCCCCACCGCAGAGGTGTAACCACTGCCAGAGACATAATTCCTGACAGAGAAAGAGAAGAAATACCCTGGCTTCTCCCCTCTTCCCATCCACTGATGCTTCCCATTGGCCAATCCTAATTAGAAGCCAGGGCAAAGGAGCCTGGGAAATGTAGTTTGCACAGGTCAGTCCCATCCGATGTAGGTCAGAGCAAGGGAAGGACAAGGAATGGGTCTAAGAGCAAAGAGGCAAATGGTGAGTGTGGTGCTTACCTGGAGGGCACCTGCCCCATTTAAGGGGGGCAGCTGCTACTCATCTGCAGTTGATTGATGTTATAAGGGAATATGAATGTTCCCTTTTGATTTTTTCAACAGAAGCAAGAGATCCAGTATTTCTGTTTTTTTCACATATTTAGTGTGAAATTTCCCAATCTTCAAATGTTGGCAACTAATTAAAAAAATTTTTTTTTTCCTTTTTGTCTTTTTTCATGACTGGCCACGGATTGCAACCCTCAGTATCATGCCCGCACCGGACCGGGACCAGCTACGGGATCGCAACCCTCGGTGTTGCTCCCGCACCTCGCTCAGCCAGTGAGCGGCCAGTCTATATGTGGGATCCGACCCCTCAGCGGGAGCGCCGCCGCACTCCCAAGCGGCGCACTGTAGCAGTGCGCCACCGGGCCGGCCCGGCAACTAATTAAAAATTTTAAACACTATGTAGAAAAAGAAAAAAAGAGGGCCGGCCCCGTGGTGCACTCGGGAGAGTGCGGCGCTGGGAGCGCAGCAACGCTCCCGCCACGGGTTCGGATCCTATATAGGGATGGCTGGTGCGCTCACTGGCTGAGCACGGTGCGGGCGACACCACGCCAAGGGTTGCGATCCCCTTACTGGTCACACACACAAAAAAAAGACAAAAAAAAAAAAAAAGAAAAGAAAAAGAAACAGGATGCATGATGCAAAGCCAGCTCACTGGGTCCTCGAAGTAGTGAGGGTCCTCGAGGTGGTGAGGGTCCAGTTAGCAGGACTGACAGGAGCAGCTAACAGGGTGTGTGTCAAAGAAGAGAGGAAGGTCTCTGGCCTTGGGAGGTTGGGGAGGGCTTCTTGGAGGAGGCAGCACCTGAGCAGACCCTGGAAGATGTAAATGAGATGATTGGATGGTCCTTTGTGGTTTAGGACAATACATTAGAAAGAGAGTATGAGAGGCTGGAGGGGACTGTTGGGAATCACTCAGGGAACCCATGTGCCCCTGGTTTTTCTGGCTTTGATAGTCTTTCTTCTTTCCCTAGCCTGAGGATCCAGCACTTCGAGCTCCAGAACTCGAACTTGAGTCTACTCCCAGAGAAGGGTATAAGAGCCTCTCTGTCCAATAACTACATGTCTGTCAGTGGGAACTGGGAGGTGAAAAAGGCTTTCATGTGAGTAGCACTTGAGTTAAAACGTCTCTTAGCTTTGGGCAAGAGCATGTCCTCCCACCCTGGACTTCCGTTTCTGGGTTTTTAAATGTCTGGTCAATAAAGGACCCAGATCTGACAGTCCTCAATGTTTAGTTTTATTACCTGTGAAATGGGGTTAGTAATAACCTACCTCATAGCTGCAGTTATGGATTAAATAAAATAACAGATGTTTATTTAGCAGTGTACCTGGCACACAGCAAATACTCAGTAAACACTGGCTGTTTTAATTAATGATAAGTTGAGGTGCAGACAAACTACATAGCAACTTAGCAGAGATCTGGGAGGCAAACCTGGATCTGTAGTATTTTGGCTCCTCTCCCTGAAGGCAACCCTGATTATACAGCAATTCGCTTCTCATTTCTCCCAACCAGCACCCTATGCGGCACCTTTGATCTGACTGTGGATGGCATTTCCATCCTGGTTTCTCTGAACTTGGGGAAAAATGTGTCTGGACAACCCACTGCCTCCGTAGCCCAATGCAGCAACTCCATTGGCCATGTCAGGATTGATATATCTGGAAGCTTAAGGTAAGTGACTCCATACAGTCACTGGAGATGATCAGAGCTGCCTTGGCAAACAGCTCACCCCTAACCCAGCTCACCTAATAGGGCATAAAAGCAAGATCTTAAGACTTGTCGAGAACAGAAATTAGCAAACTATGGCCTACGGGCCACATCCAGCCTGCCATCTCTTTTGGTGAATAACATTTTATTGCAACACAGCCACATTCATGCATTTACATTTTTGTCTACAGCTGTGTGAGCACTACAACTGCAGAGTTAAGAAGTTGCAACAGAGCCCACATGGCATGCAATGCCAAAAATATTTACTATATAGATGATAACTAAAAATTTTGCTCTGACCAGGTCAGCTACCTTATAGTGCCTCGGAGGATCTGGGTGTAAGTCAGTAGTCACATCCACCTATGCTGAGAAATGTTATTATAAGACCATGGTTACTTAGAAGCAGACAGGATGGCACCAGAAAGCCACAAAATGAGCTAGAATACTTCTTGTGACCTTTACCCCAAATCCCTGCATGTAGGATGTAACCTAGTAACAATCCCAAATCTATATGTGATGTACAACCAATAGAAAACCTGATGAAGTAGTCAGGTGGGGCTTTCTCTCTCTCTCCTCTTTGATCCTTCCCCCTTCCTGTGATTATAAAATGCTAAGCTCTGCTGGCCCTGTTTGGAATGCATTTCTCAGGGTAACCTGACTTATGCATCTCCCCGGTTGCAATCATCATATTGGCTCAATAAATCCTTGCAGTATGTATTTTGCCTCAGTGCTGGGATAGAATGAGAAAGTTCAGATCCATGGGTGGCCATCCTCTTAGGAGTCTCGGTTAATCATAAAATGGATCGTAACCCTCTTTCTCTTTTCTGCAGCTGGATCCTAAACCTCTTCCATGAAAGAATTGAAAACAGTATCAAAGAGGTCTTGAAACAAAAGGTAAACAAAAAAATTAGGAGATTTATAGTTAGCACACAGATCATTGACATCTATATATCTGATATTTGGAAATGGCCTTTTCTCTTAAGTATGTTGCCATTTGAATTGGTTTAGTGAAATCTTCCTCATTCATGGTGCAAAGGCAAACTTCAAGGCTTTCCCAAGTTGGTATGATTATATAAGCTAAATTGGCAGTGGGAACCAACAAAGTGTTATTTGATTATCTAATCGTAGGCAATATTAGAGAGATATGGGGGAGAAATGATTTTGGATCCCTCCCTCACACCATACACAAGAATCAACTCCAGATGGTCTAAGGATATAAATGACAAAACAAATCTTGAAACTTTTTAGGAGAAAACTTAGGATATATTTCTCACCTTGAAGATAGGAAACTGTTTTCTAAATAAGACCCCCCCAAAATGTATCATGTTGAGAACAGCAATGGGGATGGCCCTCAGTACCTGTCACTTCTGGAAAAAGTTTTGGTCTGTGGAGGCAGAGAGGTGCCTCTTCCATGTACCCTCTCTGTATCTTGGGGCAAGTTGATACACCCCCTGGAATCTCCACCTCCTCATGTGTGAAATGAGGACAATGACCCCTACCATGAAAGGGGTTGGTGAGGATTCGATTAGATAACCACAAGGAGTCCCTGGGACACAAGTTGTGTTCAGAACACTCACCATTTTTACTACTTCAGAGCCATTTCTCAGCTGGATTCACCTCCTTGACTCTTCGTTGTTGAGCACATGAGCTCTGCACTCAGACACTCTGGATTTAAATCCCAGCTCTGCCACTTTTCTGGCTGTGAGGTCTTGGATAACTGACTTAACCTCTCTGAGCCTTAAGATTCTTATCTATAAAAGAAGAACAATCATAACATCTACCGTGCAGGGCTGTTGTGAGGACCCAATGATGTGATATGCATAGGCACTTACTAGCACCTGGTACAGAGTAAGAGCTGGGAAAATGGGAGAAGTTCATCCCCTTGCCATTTATGCTCCCCAGTATCCCCGTGTGGGTGGTGGTTTCTGCCTTACAAATATAGAAAACATAGGCTAGAAAAATCTAGATACCACACATCCAGGGAGAGTCAGGTGCCAGGGAGGCTAAGCCCACAGAATTGATTGTTTCAGATGTGGTCACTGACTTCAGTCCCCATGGGACTGTGAAAAGTTCTGGGTGGCTCTGCAGAAAGAGGACCTCAGGCTGAGGGAGGACACGTAATGCAAGCCCTGGGAGGGCTGACTCCCTGAATAGCCCTGCTATTCTTGGTGCTCCAGCAGAGGCCAGGTCAGGCCCACCTGACAGCCTTTGGCTAGCTTGGAGTTTGCACTAAAACAATGCTTTTCAAAATGGAGAAACATCCCACAAACAGGGAGTTGATTTTAACTGATGTGAATCCTTAGTGTTAAATTATGCAGAATGACAGAATGAACCAGTAATTCCCTTTACGGTCTTCTTTCTCTTTCTTCTTGTCGAAGGGGAAGTCTCAGTTTGGGGCTAAGGTATTCTGAACACTCTTTTTTTAAAATAAAAAAGAGGCATTATCTAACGAGGCAGTAGCACCAAGCCAGATTTCCAGAGCATTTTTCTTTTTTTTTTTTTCTTTAAAGATGACCGGTAAGGGGATCTTAACCCTTGGCTTGGTGTTGTCAGCACCACACTCAGCCAGTGAGCAAACCGGCCATCCTTATATAGGATCCGAACCCATGGCCTTGGTGTTATCAGCACCACACGCTCCCAAGTAAGCCATGGGCTGTCCCAGAGCGTTTTTTCAATCCTTCATACTCATTTACCCAGTTATATCCTATTTATGCCAAGGGATACCAGTTTTCCATTGATGAGAGTGATATAAAGTTACTGTATTTTTTATTAAAAGTATACAATTTTTAAAAGGCCACTTGGTACAGAGAACATATTAGGTAAATAAGAGACAGGTAAAAGGTAAGAAAGTCAAAATCACGCAGATGGTGTAGGAATTCCTGAAGTTAAGGAAGTGCAAAACTAGGGGCTTCTGGGATCTCCCCAACCTGGAATTCCACGACTTACCTGGGAGTGAGTTGATGGCCACCTAAGGAATGGAATTCCCGGATTACACTCTCCTTCTGGCTTTGCTCTGGTTCCCTCTGGTGGCCCTAGTCAGTACTGCCTGCAGGCCACATGCCATGATCTTTTATGGATCCTTCTTATTGCCAGATGGCCAGGTAATGGTGAGATTTCAGGAATCTGAGTAGGAAGAGGAGGCAAGGGGCTGGCGAATGGGGGGTGAAGCCTCTGAGTCAAGAGCTGCCTTCAGCACCTAGGAGCTCTTCTGCTTGTCCCCTCTGCTCTCTAATAGATACATCTATGTGCTGCATTCTGAGGACTGTGACAATAGCAGACTCTAGGGCAGTGCCAACTTTACCACTATCCACTTTTAATGTGGGTTCCAGAAAAATCCAAGAACTTGAGCTGGGCCAACCTGTGTGAAAGGCCAGCCCAAATGGGACAGTGACCAAGTGCTGTGTATTAATGAGGACAAAGGCCTCATCTTCCTTTTCACTGCACTCCCCACCCACGCCCAACACACACACACACACAGGTACCTATGGGGCGGGGATAGAACCCATGGTTCCTGGAGGTGGAAGTAGGAAAGGTGGGGGGCACTGCCAAGGAGAGAGGTGGAGGGGGGACTCATCTGGCTTTCTCCCCACTTTTGGCAGATCTGCGAAATGATCAGAAAGTCGACCACCTCACACCTGGAGCCCTTTCTCCAGACTCTGCCAGGTTTGAGCCCCTTCACTTCTAGGGCCTCACTTACCATAAGATGCCATGGCACTGGGTAATCCTGGAATCATCATCCCCTGGGGCAACCCAGGGAGAAATCCCCCCCCCCCAAGTATCTCTCCATCCTACAGAGTTAGATAAGGGGTGATCACCTTGGGGTCTATTCTCTGGAGATGGGGGAGCAAGAAGATCAAGGGTGGTGACTCAGAAACCTACTGGGAGCATGAGGCAGGCAGAGGATTACGTACACATGGAGGAATCAAGTGTTGGCTATGCTGGATGCTTTAACAAAAGAGGGGTGCTCTCAGCTCCCTGGGTAGGGCTGGGGGCTCTCCCAGTCCCTGCCCCTCTGGCTGCCACAGGGACCTTTTACAATCACTCATCAGAACAGGTTACTCCCTCTTCTTGAAATCCATCAGAGACTCGTCTGACTCTCAGAATACTGAGCCCAACCTCTGGTGAGAAGGCTGTGCTTGGTCTGGCCCTGCCCACCATACCCTGGTCTCCAGCTTCATCTGGCCCCAATTCATCCAGCCACACCAGGCCCTCTTAGTTCCTCTAATATCCATGCTTCATACTGCTGCACAATCTTTGCATGTGTCGTTCTCTTTGCCACCTCCACTCCCCTGCCCCACCTCCACTTCCCTTTACCCAATCAACACCTGCTCCTCCTTCAGATCTCAGCCCGAGCAACACCTCCTCTGGGAAGCCTTCTTTGACTCCCTGTTTCAGTCAGGCTGCCATCCCCCACTTTACCCCCTGTTATAGGGCTGGCTTCACCCTATGGACTTTTGCTACCTAACAGTTGCAATTTTACATTTATTTTCTCAAGTATGTGTGTTTCAAATCTGGAAGACAAGGTCTTTAACCATCTCACTCATAGGTGTTTCTTCAGCCCCTAGCATCATGCCTGGCATATAGCAGGTGCTCAATAAAATGCTGAATGAATGAGTCAATGAATGAATGAATAAAGCAATACCTCTCTGTGGCTGAAAGTATCATGGATCAGCCCCAGCCCCATTTTCACTCTCTGAAGGCTAATTGTCCATGTGAATGGAGCTCCCTAGAGTTATGCAGTACATGACTTGCACAACTGTGTTTGGCTACCCTATTCATAAATCTGCCTCTTTCTCGTTTCACAGTCACTGTTATGATTGACCAGATTGCTGGCATTGACTGCAGCTTGGTAGGAGCTCCCCAGGTGACCTCTGAAGGCTTGGACCTGCCCTCCAAGGTGAGGGGCTGTGGGGAAAGGGCCTTGGGGCTGAGGACTAGTAGGAAATCAGTTTCACCTCCTGGAGTCAGCTCTTCCTCTTCCTTTCCAGTCCATCTGCCTGTTAGTTCACATCTTGACCAGTGTCCACAGTGGGCAGATACTAGGCACATGTGGTACTAGGCACTGCAGACCAAGACCTAAGACAAGGTCTGTGAACCAATATGGTAAATCTTTCTGGAGTCCAGAAGACCTGAGCTCTAATCTTGACTCTACCACTTATGGTAGTTACTTGGGAGAGTAACTAACCTTGGGAGAGTTACTTAACCTCTCTGAACCTCTATTAGGAATAGTAATAGCCTTACCTCATAAGGTTTTGCAAGAATTAAGTGAGGTGATATGTATAAAGTGCTTAGCAAGTGCCTAGCACATCCTAATTTACAAGGTAGCAATATTACTACTACCTGCCTCATCCCCTATAGTAGACTGAATAACAGCTTCCTATAATGTCCATGTTCGAATCCTCAGAATCTGTAAAGGTTACCTTACATGGCAAAGGGGACTTTGCAGATTTAGTTAAGTTGAGGATCTTGACATGGCAAGATCACTCCAGCTTATCCAGCTGGGCTCAGTGCAATCACAGAGGTCCTTAGAAGAGTGAGGCAGGAGATAAGGGACAGAAGGCAAAGTGACAAAGGAAGCAAGAGGTTAGGGTGATGTGAGGGAAGGGCACAAGCCAAGGAATACAGTTGCCTCTAGAAGCTGGAAGAGGCAAGGAAACAGATTCTCCCTTGAAACTTCCAGAAGGGGCGCAGGCCTGCCAACACTTTATTTAGGCTTCTGACCCCAGAACTGTAAGCGAATAAATTTGTGCTGTTTTAAGCCACTGAGATTGTGGTCATTTGTTGCAGCAGCCATAGGGAACTAATACACCGCCTCTTCATTCCCATTGTCCATTCCACAACTCCCTGTAGGTTGAGCCAGGCCGTGGAGTTCCACCTCTCCAATTTTATTTATATAATGAACACGTATATGCTTCTTACTATGTGTTAGTGAGCACTTGTACAAATATTAACTTATTGAAATTAAGTACACCTCTATGAAGCAGAAACTATTAGCTTCATCCCCACTTTACAGCTGAGGAAGTTGAGGCACAAGGAAGTTGGTGACTTGCCCAAGGTCTCAGGGCTAGTAAGATCCAGGACGCAAACCCAGGCAGTTGAGCTCAAGAGCCCATGCTTTCCACCACCGGGCTGTGCTTCCTCTCCTATGTCCTGTCCTGTGAGAGCTCAGATCACACCTCCTACTGCAAAGGGATGACGCCATAATAAGGGGATTTCAGACAGCTCTCAGGACCTGGATGTTGTGGGGCCAGAGGGAATCTTTCCGCATCCCTGGCCTCACATTCTGGAGAGGAACTGCCACCCCAGCTGCCTCCCAGGGCACAGGAGGCCTCCCCTAGGCAAGCTTTGAATGCATCTGCCTGATACTCTCTCTGGTAGGAACCGTGGGTGCCTCACATGTCCTCTGTCTCCAGGGTGAATTTTTCAGCCTAAGCCAGCACACCCCCATCCCTTTTGATGCTCCAGCCATCATGCTACCCCAGCAACACGACTGGGATGACCATATGATCTACGTTGCAGTCTCTGAATATGTCTTCAACACAGCCAGCTGGGTTTACTACCAGGGTAGGCCCACGAACTTCACCATTCATGACAAGCATGTGAGTATGGGAGGGAAGAAAGCTGGGGATCCCAGAAGAGAGCTTCAAATGGGACTGTAGACTCACTGTAGGTACTACAGTGAGCCTGGGGAAGAATGTGCAATTGGAAGCCTGCCAAAATGGGTTAGAACCCAAACTGTGCCTCAGTTTCCCTGTCTATACTTGTGGATCCTAATAGTGCCTATTCCCAGGGATTATATGAGATACTGTCTGTAAAGGGCTTGGTGTCTGATGCATAATATATATTAGCTAATTGTTAGCAGTGCTTTAAAAAATAAGACTATGGTATATCAAATCAAGTCCTCCAGGAAGCAAATGCCAAGACAGCATTAGACTTGTAAGAAATTTATTAGAACAAACCCTATGAAGGATAAAGGAGAGAGCAAGAAGTAATAGGTGGGGAGAGCCTCAGGCTTCAACACAATACTGACACCTATGAAGGAAGAGAGGGAAGGAAGCAGGACTGGGTAGAAGGAGCCTCAGGCTGCTGCAGAGCTCCAAGAAAGTCTCAGCCAAGATGATGGGGAGCCACAGAGCAAAGATGGCTTGTTAGAGGAGTCCCATCTCAAACAGAAATGTGGAACCTGGCTCCAGGCTAAAATCATATGCATGATCTTTTATGCCCAACCAAAGGAAATTACAAATGATATACCTGGCAGGTCTCACCAGACCAGACTTGGTGCACGGCTAAGGTACTGCAGTCTTTGGAGGGAGCTGCAAGCAAAGACTCAGACCCTCACCCCCACCACCAGCCCGGGCTAGCCATGCACTTATATCTGCAGTCCTAGCCCAGGCACCTCCTTTCACAAGCTTCCTTATGTAGGGGGGTGGGGGGTGGCCATCAGCTGAGGTGCTGTTCAGGTGCCTCTGCCAATACACCTTTTGGGGGCCTTGAAGACGGTTTTTCTCCACTCTGACTCAATACTCTTTGTTATTAGACTCCTAGCCTTTCCCCTTTTCCCTTACTCCCCTCTGCCCACCCTTCATGAAAGAGCAGATGCCTTTTGTTTGGGGCTCCTTTGGCAATGAGATGATCCCCCCATCTGCCTGATACAAACCCTGGCCAGGTACAATTCTGTGGGGAGCAGTAGAAAATGGGGGGAGCCAATGCCCTTTCCTCTTTCACTTCTTGCTTATACTATCATAGTAAGTGAATGAAGTCTTAACTGTTACTTGCATTTTGGCACGTTGTCTTAGTTGACCACCTGGACACCTGGCAGCTCTCTGACAAAATTACCTAGCTCACCCTTGCTGTGCTCAGTCATGGGCTGGGGGCCTTCTGGAGAGCACACAGCCTCAGCATGAATGGTGTGGGGGTCTGAATGTGAGGGAGGTGGGGGCTGTCAGCCAACTGCACTCCTTGCAGCTGATCCCCCAGAAGGGAGGTCCGAGCAGCGTACCTCCACCACCAACCACTGCGGTGAGTGCTTAAGAGCAGCCCAGGTAAAGCATGGGAATCTTGAGGAAGGAGTGGGCTGTGACAGGTATAGACAGGATTTGCCAGGCTGAAAGATCAGCATCCCATAGGGTGGGTAGAGAATGGGCACCTTGAGAGACGGCTAGAAAAGGAATTCAGGGAAGTCATATTGAGAAGTACATTAAATGCCAGATTGTGGAGGTTATTGGCTCTAGTTGACCCCTTGGGAGATCATCCTGAGAAATAAGAAATAACAATAACAGACATTTACTGGTCAGTTACTATGTGCCAGGCACTGCCTTTATTACCTTCCCCATATACTGTCTCATTTAATCCTCATACCATTGTGAGATAGGTGCTATTATTATCCCCATTTTACAGATAAAGAGGCTAACAAAGTTTGCTAACAATGAGTCACCTGAAAAATAGCAGAAGCAGAATTTGAACCCAAGCTGTCTGACCTCAAAATCCATATCTCTAACTATAGGCATGCATCACTTACGAAGGGGATACATTCTGAGAAATGTGTCAGTAGGTGATTTCATCACTGTGCAGACGTCACAGAGTGTACTTACACAAACTAGATGGCTCTAGCCTACTACACTTCTAGGCTTTTTGGTATAACCAATTGCTCTGACTGCTGCTGTGTATGTGGCCTGTTGTTGACCGAAACATCATTGTGCAGTGCGTGACTTTACCATGGTGTCCTGCTTCTCAAGTAACTTCTTGCTTCTTCTGCCTCAGATTCCCCTGGACTCTGTAATCCACCTGAACACAAGCTCATTCCGGACCGTAGTTCCTCAGGTAAGCCCTCTGCACACTCATCACAGAGGACAGACAAGCCCCTTGACCTAGGCCAAATTTGGAGATTATATTTCGACATTGATGGGCTGTGTGTGGGTCAAAATAAAAGCTATTAAACTAATTTTTTGTATGAAATTCCAATCATTCTTTGGCTCCTTGTGGCACAAAGATGCAGGATCTGAATTCAGATTGCCTGGGGTTGTATCCTAAGTCTGCTATTTTGTAGCTTTGGAACTTAACCTTGCTGTGCCTCAGTTTTCTCATTTGTCTAATAGGGATGTCAATTGTATCTGCCCTTCTGTGTTTCTGGGAGGATCAAATGGAAAATAAAAGCACTCATCCAGTGCAGATGTACAAAGGTCCTTCCAGAGCACAAACATGGGCACCCTGAGCAGGCTAATAATTTGGTGCTAAGCCAATAACCATCAACAGGTGTGTGATGCTTATCCAGAGGCCTAGCTGGAAAGTGGTGGGGGCAGAGTGACGAGCACTGAGCCTCCTCCCTTTTGACCCAGGCAATTCCACTCTAGCCCCAAATTTGCACACCAGTCAACACAAGCTGGTCTGCCACAGGAGGCAGTATGGTAACCGTCCATTGTTACTTGAACAGGCCCATTGTTGTGTCTTGCCTACCCCACACACTTTATCAAAGTGCCCCTTCCAACCACGACAGCCATCGCATGGAAAGAAATTCTAGAAAATACAATTTTCTCCATCCTGTGATATTTCTTCTGCTGATTTAGAGCCCTTAGAGATTTGGGCCTTGGGGACCTGCCCATGTGGCCTTCTGAGTACAGTTCAGGTCCCTCTGTTTGTCTGCCCTCCCCTGAGTGTCTGCCCTGTCTCTCTCTAGCTGGCCAAGTTGTACCCTGATACAGAGATAGAGCTTGAGGTGTCATCTGAATCAGAACTGTTTGTAATGTTCACCCCTGGAAATGTCACCCTCGTGCCTGTGGTGGACATCCGAGCCTTCGCCCTTCTGCCCAACTCCTCTGACCGTGACCTTCTCTTTGAACTCAGGGCGGTAAGTCTGATCCTGACCAGTGTGGCAAAGAGCCATGCTTGCCCTGGGTTTAAGCCCCTCCCTCAGCTGAAAGACCAAGAGCCCACACAGTTGATAGATGCTGAAGGCTATTTACTTCTACCAGCAGCTATAGTGGGCCCTACCTTTCTTGTCTGCACAGCCTGAGCACATAGTTCATCAAATCATATACTGTCAGAGTGGCGAGAAGTATAGTCATTCACTCCAGCTGAGTTGATGATTTTAACTTTCTAACTGTTGTATTTACTATTAAGAGGTTTTTTTTTTTTTTTTTTTTTTTTAAGATGACCAGTAAGGGGATCTTAACCCTTGACTTGGTGTTGTCAGTACCACTCGCTCCCAAGTGAGCCATGGGCCGGCCCCAACTATTAAGAATTTTTTAACCTAAAGTATAACCTCATTTAAATTGTTATAAATAAAAATCAACAAATTACGTTTTTAAAGAGGGTATAAAGAAGGTGTCAGCATTTGGCAGTATTCTCTAAATTGATTTACAAATTTAGCATGATCCCTATCAAAATCTCAGCTGGCTTTTGTGCCAGCTGACAAGTTGATCCTCCAATTTATATGGAAATTCAAGGGGCCCAGAATAGCCAAAACAATCTTGAAAAAGAAAAATAAAGTTGGAAGACTCGTACTTCCCTATTTCAAAACTTACTATAACTTACTAAACATAGTTCAAAGGAATAGGATTAAGAGTCCAGAAATAAACCCTCATATTTATAGTCAATTGATTTTCAACAAGGGGACCAAGACAATTCAATGAAGAAAGTACAGTCTTTTCAATATAATGCTGGGGCAACTGGATATGCACATGCAAAACAATGAAATTGGACTCCTTCCTTATACCATATGCAAAAAATTAGCTCCAAATGGGCATAGACCTAAACATACCTGCTAAAGTATAAAACTCTTAGAAAAAAACATAGTAGTAAATCTTCATGACTCTGGGTTAGGCAAAACTTCTTAGATATGACACCAAAAACACAAGAAATAAAGTAAAAAATAGATGGACTTCATCAAAATTAGAAACATTTGTGTTTCAAAGGACACATTCAAGAAAGTAAAAAGGTAATCCACAGAATGGGAGAAAGTATTTGCAAAACATATATCTGATAAGGAATTTGTATCCAGAATATATAAAGAACTCTTACAACTCAATAATAAAAATAGACAAATAACCCAACTTAAAAATGGACACTTCCACTTCGGGGAAGATGCAGTAAATGTACATTTCCCTATTCTTCCTGCTAAGTTCAACTAAAAACCCTGAACATTATATATAAAACAAACATAAGACAACTCTGAAAGGCAGAGAGAAGAAGGCAGACTGGCTAGGGACCTTAGGATCTTAAGAACAACCAGGTGATGAGTACCCTGGGTTTTCTTTCTGCCTCATATACCTCCAACTGGGGCTGAAGAAGTCAGCAGCCCTGAAATGTCAACAGGCACACAGAATAAAAAGAAAACCTCTTGTCTTTATCCAAAGGACCAGGAAAAGGAGAGCCAAGTAAGGCAGACAATAACTGTTCTCCTAACACCAGAGAAAAAACTGTGGTCCCCACCCCCACCCAAGCCAGCAAAGGCCAGTTGGGAAGTGTAGACTTCCATTCTCACAGGCTTTAATGAGGAACCCCCAACAACCCTAGAAGTGTGGTGTCAATGGGACAAAGGAAAGAATATGTGAACTAGAACATGGAACAACAGAAATTACCCAATATGAACAACAGAGAAAAAATAGACTGAAAAAAAAAATTAACAGGACCTCAGGGACCTGTGGGACTATATCAAAAGATCCAATATTCAAGTCATCAGAGTCTCAGAAGGAAAGGAGAAAGAAGGAGGGACTGAAAAATCACTTAAAAAAAAAAAAAAAGTTTGAAAACTTAATGAAATTTGGCAAGAAACATGAGCGTACAGATTCAAGAAGATGAACAAACTCCAAACAGGAAAAACCTAAAGACATTTATGCCAACACAGAAAATAATTTAATTTCTGAAAACTTAGGACAAAGAAAAAATTCCTGAAACCAGATGGAGAAAAATAACACCTTACCTATAGAGGAAAAATAATTTCAATGCAGCATCTTTTCCATCAGAAACCACAGAAGCCAGAAGAAAATGGCACAATATTTTTCAAGTGCAGCCTGAGCTCAGGCTGCCATAACAAAATACCATAGACTGGATGGCTTAAACAACAGAAAGGTATTTCTCACATTTCTGGAGGCTGGAAAGAGAACAAGGTGCCAGGCAATTCAGTTTCTGGTGAGGGTTCTCTTCCTAGCTTGCAAATGTGTCCTTACATGGTGAAAAAAGAGAGATCACTGGTATCTCTTCCTCTTCTAAAGAAGACTAGTTCTATAGGATCGGGGCTCTATCCTGAAAGAAAGTGAGCCAAGATGCCACGTACTGTTCAAGCTTTATTAAAGGAAAAGAATCTGCCAGCCTGCACTCAAAGTGACGGGCAGCCTGGGGCTGCCCTCAAAATGGGGGACAGCACGAGGTGTGAGGGTAGGAGAGCTTATATAGTGTGCCAAGGGCTGGCTGATACTATCAAGGAGGGGCATTATGCTAATGAGGAAACTATGAGACCAGGGTGGAGAACTGCAGCCTTGCAGAGGTAAAAGGGTTTCTGTTTAAGTCACGAGGCTTCTCTTAAAGGGAAGAGGGGAGGAGTTTGGTGCCAGAGTGGAAGACAAGGCCGCCGACTATTTTGTACTTATTGTGTGCACAATGGCTCTGGTCACATCCAAGATCCATCACACCCTTATGCCTCATTTAACTTTAATCACATCCTTAAAGTCCTGTCTCCAATATAGTCACATGGGGACTTAGGGCTTTAACATATGAATTAGAGGGGGAGACACAATTCAGTAGATAGCAAGTGCTGAAAGAAAAGAACTGTCAACTCAGACCTTCTAGTGTTCCTAAGCACAAGAAGGCTGTGATGTGCCTTAGAAAATACGTGTATTAGATATGCTTCATTAAGGTGGGAGTTATAGTGCTGTTGGCCATGAGTTCAATGTTACGGAATCAACAATATATTTAGTCATGCATCACTTAACAATGGGGACAAATCCTGAGAAATATGTCATTAGGGGATTTCATTGTTTTGCAAACATTGTAGAGTGTAGTCACATAAACGTAGATGGTAGCAGCCTACTACACATCTAAGCTATTGTGATACAGCCATTATGATCTTATGGGACCAGCGCTATATACGCAGTCTGTCTTTGACTGAAACATTGTTATGCGGTGCATGACTCTATTAAATAAGGTGGCTTTAAACAGAAACACACATAAAACAAGATTATGTATTAGTCAGTTGATAAAAATATGATCAGTGGCTCACAGGTACTTAAACCCATATTTCCTATAAGAGCAATAACTCAGTATTTACTGATTCTGTGTTCATACCAATTTATAGAACTTAACTCCCCTAAATAACAAGAATTGATTGTAGTTGGAAACTTCACACTCCCTCTCAACAACTGATAGAACAACTAGCAAGAAATTCAGCTTGGATATGGAAAAACTCGGGGGCCGGCCCGGTGGCACACTCGGTAGAGTGTGGCACTTAGGAGTGTGGCAGTGCTCCCGCTGAGGGTTTGGATCCCATATAGAGACCAGTCCGCTCACTGGTTGAGCGCGGTGCGGGCGCGACACCGAGGGTTGCGATCCCGTTGCCGGTCGCGGTATGGGCGTGACACTGAGGGTTGCGATCCCATTACCGGTCACGAAAAAAGACAAAAAGGAAAAAAAGAAAAAAGAAAAACTCAACAACACCATCAACCAACAGGATTTGATAGACTTTTTTAGAACATTCCAGCCGCAATAGTGGAATATACATTCTTTTCAAATGCCTACAGAACATATCCCAAGATAGACCATATCCTGGGCAATAAAGCAAACCTCAAAAAATTTAAAAGGATTGAAATCATACAGACTGTTTTCTCCAACGGCTATGGATCAAACTAGAAATCAGTAACAGAAAGATAACAGGAAAACCTCCCAACACTTGCAAACTAAACAACATACTTTAAGAACTCTGTGGATCAAAAAGGAAATCTCAAGAGAAATTAAAAATACAAGGAATGGAATGAAAATACAACATATCAAAATTTGTGGTACACATCTAAAGCAGTGCTGAGGGAAACATGTAGCACAAACTGCAGAGATTAGAAAAAAGTTCTCCAATCAATAATCTAAGCTACCAACCCAAGAAACTAGAAAACCCAAGTATCCATGAACTGATAAATGGACAAACAAAATGTGATACAGCCATACAATGGAATGTTACTCAGCAATAAAGAGAAACGAAGATACATACTACATACTGATACATACTACAACATGAATAAATTCTGAAAATACGGTCAGTGAAAGAAGGCAGTCACAAAAGGCCACATACTGTGTGATTACATTTATATGAAATGTCCATACTAGGCAAATCATAGAAACAGGAAGTAGATTAATGGTTGCCTTAGTCTGGGGGGTTGGGGAGAATAGGGTTTGAGTGTTAATGTATACTGGGTTTCTTTCGGGGGAGATGAAATGTTCTAAAATTGATTGTGGTGATGATTGCACAAACTGTAAATATACTAAAAACCACTGAATTGTACACTTTAAGTGGGTGAATTATATCTCAATAAAGCTGTTTTTAAAAAGTAAATAAAATGAAAGAACTCAAAAAACCCAGTATGGGCCAGTCCCGTGGCTTACTTGGGAGAGTGCGGCGCTGCTAGTGCCAAGGCCAGGGGTTCGGATCCTGTATAGGGATGGCTGGTGCGCTCACTGGCTGAGCGTGGTGTGGACAACACTGTGCCGAAGGTTGCAATCCCCTTACTGGTCAAAAAAACCCCACAAAACCTAGTCATGATCAGGCATATGTAGATAGGGTGGGCTAACTGCTATGATAAATCACCTCCAAATTTTAGTAGTCTAACCCAAAAGAAGTTTATTTCATACTCACATGAAGTCCAATCAGACATTTTTTATTGGCAGGTGGCCTTCCAAGTGGTTATTTCAGGACCTGGGCTCCTTCTGTCTTGTGACTTCTCCCTCCTCTAGGGCTTTGGAGTCCTCTCCATACAGTCAATGAATAGAAAAAGTGAGTGGAAGATCGTAGAGGTGTTTTCACGGGCCAGCTCTAGAAGTAGTATCAAACATCATTTATGACCACATGCCACTGGCCAGACCTGTCTCATGGCCACACCTAACTGCAAAGGAGGCTGGGAGATGGAGTCCAGCTGGGTGCCCAGGAGATAAAGAGAATGGGTCTTGGTAAACACATAGCAGTCTGTGCCACAGCACCTTCCTTGTCCTTTTTCAATACTTCTTGGTCTCTACTCAAGCTGATATTGACCTTGTCCACACCTGAACAGAAGCCAGCCTCTGTCCTTTGTCTGGGACACAGTTGTGTTCCCTTTTCCCTGCCACAAGTCTCTGGGACATTAATTATGTTTCTAAGTAGAGCTGTTCAATGATGCCTCCACAAGCACTCACCTAGGTGTTGCAGGTAAGAGCTCACCTTGTGGTGAGAGGAAGTAGACTCAGGTAGAACAGCTACCACTGTAGATGGGACAGAGCTACCCGGTTCAACCCTATCCCTCAGTAGGCTAGTCCTCACCCTCAGAGACAGGTGTCAGTTGGTGGTGTCCTTAAATTTCTCCAGAGCTCAGGGGCTCTCTGAATGTCCCTTGGTGGCCTACTCCAAATCTCTCAGTAACTCTTACAGGGAGAAGGTATCCCTATTCAAACACTCCATGTTTTCAGTTGGGGCTTATTCTCCCTTCTTGATGCTTCCATTAAAATGGAGACCTCTGAAACCTCAAGCTCACCTTTCCTAATATCAGCTGTGGAGTCACCTGCTTCCTGTACCCTCAGTCCATAACCCTTGGGTAGCTGCTTTTCACTTAGATATCCCACATCTGCCTGGGGTTACTATTTCCAGAGATCTGACTCCTGGATCAGGAGCCAACAGGATGCCTAAGTAAGCTGAGCCATCTGGGTCATTTCCTTTTTCTTTTCTAGAAAACCAACATCTCCGCCACCATCAATGTGAGCTCCAGTAAGATCACTGGTTCAGTGACCACAGGAAGGTAAGAGACCACAGGTCAGGGGAGGAATGTGGGTGAAATGGGGACATCCTGACAGTGGCCAGAGAATCTAGCCTGGTTCACTGATAGGGCTGAGGGTGACCCTTGGAAACAGATCTCTACCAAAGCTGGGTCATCCTCTAATTCAGGAGCCCCTCTGGAAAAGGCATATTGATAATGCCTCAGGGGGGGGGAACCAGAAGGTGAGAAGAGGTGCCAGGTAACAGAGATTGCCTTCAGGCCCCCTCTCACCCTGGGCTCCTGACTTCCCTCTCTCAGGCATCAGTGGAGGCTGTAATTTTTGCAAAGGCAGGGACTTAGGCAAGATAGTCTAGCTGGGGGAGGTGGGGCTTGAAGCTGTGTTTGCAAGGAGTTTACATCTAAGGTTGAGAAAAAACTGTCAATTGCACACATCAAAAAGTGGTGGAGATTTTGGATAGAGGATTAAAGCACTTCAAGCCACTCCTTACTGCTCTGCTGCTCAGGTACCCAATCAGTATGCTGTACTTAATCAGTGAGTCAGTGGGGAAAGAGTTTGGGCTTTGGGCAGCAGGGACTATACCACCCAAGGCCCTGGTGGTGTCCTCTGTGCCCATGTCTTACCCTCTCCAGGCGCTGCTCCCTGCTGAGGTACAGATGAAATGGGTTTATCAGATGAACTACTTCCTGGCCTTAGGGCTAGATGCCCGTCGACTGATAGAATGCCCTAACCCCATTAAAATGAACATCTCCTTTAGAGGTCTTTAAAAAGAAGCTAATGGTGAGCATTTGGGGCAGTGTGGCTGGCTAGTGGGGAGCTATTTGGGGACTGATGGACTTTTGGAGGCCTCTGGAGTTTGCATTTATGCATAGGCCTCCTAGCGTGGGGGTCTCTGCAGTGTTAGGAGGACAGCCAAGGGCTTAGACTGTGAGGAGACAGCAAAGTGATAAGGATTTGAGAGGATCTCACGTGATGATTTCATGAAGGAATTATAAAACTACTCTGTCCCATGAGAAGAAAGCAAAGAGATCTGTCCAGGGTCATTAGAATTCCTGAACAAAGGAACCAGGTCAGCAGCCAAGAGGAAAGTCTACCAAGAAGATCAGTGGGGGAAATTGGGGTTTAGCTTCTACAGTGACAGGGACCCAGTACCCTGAATCACTCTGCCTTCCTTTACTCCAGTGGATGCTTTACCATTTGTATTATCTATTTCCATATGGTAAAAATAATGCATGCTCACTGTAAGAAAAAATTGGAAATTACAAAAGTATATAAAAACAAACAGAATCACCCATAACCTTTCCACATAGAAACTATCACTGTTAATAGTTTCATGCGTCCTTCCAGTCTTCTTTTAGTACATTTTTTACATAATTGGAGACATTGTACTCCACTTTTTCAACTTAATATTTATATCATCATAATTTCTTCGAGTTATTATAATGCTCAGCAAACATTATTTTTAATAGCAGCCCTTCTTCAATCACAGTACATGCTTAAAGCCTTAAACCCCCAAGCAACACATTGCAGAAGAAGCCCTGGGTGCCTTTTCCCTCAAGCACTGCACACGCCACCGGGGTGTGGAGTGAGAAAGTATCAGCCATGACCTGGTGACCCATGCTTCTCTCTTTCTAGACACAGTAAACTGGAACTCGAACTGAAACATTCCAACGTGGGTTACTTCAATGTGAGTTCTTTTCTCTCAGCATCTCTTGAATTTCTTCTCCAAGCTGGGTTTCATGGGGTTTCAGGAGATGGGGCGAGGTTCCAGATAGAGATGCCCTGCAGGCTCGAAGAAAATGGGACACCCACATCTGAAAGTTAACCACGCATGAAGGGCACTGTTTGAGGGCTAAATGGGTGACAAGACATGGACATTAAGGGCATGAACTTTAGAGTAAGATGCCAGCTCTGCAACTTGCTGGCTGTGTGACCATGGGCAAGTCACTCAACCTTCCTGAACCTCAGTTTCATTGACTGTCAAATGGGAATAATAATAGGATCTACCTCAAATGGGAGCTCTAATATGAAGTGAGACAGTGAATTAAGTAAGACACCTTGACAAAATGTCCCCACACAGTAAGCTCTCAACATATGTTCATTATTGGAGTAAGAGTGACCCAGTCACACGATCCCTTATCCAAACCCCTGAAGACTGATGGGTTTAAGCACCATATGTTATTTAACACTTCCAGCAGGATCCAGGGAAGCAATCTATAATCAAACCCATGAATATTTCTGCAACAAAATTTGTAAGTAGTCACTTAAAGTGGAACCAGGTAACACTGAATAGCCTCATGCTGCTGCATAAAATGAGCTTATGTACATGTGTGGAGAATGAAGCTCAGAGATTTGGGTTCGAATTGTGAATAAGGAGCTGTTCATCTGAAATGGTGGTAGTCATGGTCAACATCTGTGTTTCAAATGGGATGACATGTCCATGCTTCTGGAGGTGGGGCCAGGTGTTGCTTCCTTTGGCTCTCGTTTTGATTCATGTCTCCTGTGATCCCTTTGCCCTGGCCCCTCCTCTGCTCCAGGTGGAGTTGCTGGAAGCCATCTTAAAGGACCACGTGCTTAATATCACACACCCGTCTCTCAGTGGTAAGAATAGCTGCTACTGGCTGATCCGTGCAAAGACTGAACTCTGCCCTTTCTGTAGGATTCATGGTTCATTCATTCACTCATTCATTTAACACATTTAGCCTCTCTTCTGTGCCTCCTGGGGTATTGGTAATTCACGATCCTTGCCCTCGTGGAGTTCACACTCTGTTAGGAAGGCAGACATATAACAGGCAATGACAAAACAGTGTGATAAATGCCACGATGGAAGGATGTACAGGGGTGTCTGCAGGAGCTGGGAGGAGGCACTGAACACAGACTTAGAGATCAAGCAAGGCTTCCAGGAGGTGAGGGCTAAGCTGAGTCTCAAAATATAAGGAGTGAGGTCAAGGAAGGAGCAACATTCCAGGTGGCATTGGGCAGAACACCTGGAGTTAGCACCCCTGGGCTCTGGGCCAGGTTAGATGACCTTGCTGGGTGACCTTGATGGAGGTAGTGCCTGGAACAGTGGCTGCCTGAGAATCAGCCTCATCCCATCGCAGAACCCTCTTCAGCTGACCTCACCATCTGCCTTTCACGACCAAGAGATAGGAGCAACAAAATTGGTCTGGATAAGAGAAAGTGGGGGGACAGTGGTCCTCAGGGATGAGTACCTGAGTGCAAACACTGCGCACCCCAGCCCTGGCCCCTAGGGGTGGTGGGTAAGGGAGTGCTTTTGAATGGGCTGGCAGAGGCTGTAAAGGCTGTCCACATCAATGCACTCCTGAAGAGGCTGCATTTCCCAGGCCTTTGCCTCAATGCCCCCCAACTCAGCCCTGAATCCAGTACCCAGCAGCAAATGCCATGCTCTGTGTCTTCACACCCTCAAGTCTTCACTGTCCAGCCCACTTCTCTCTACTGTTTACCTTCCAGCAATGCTTGAGAAGGGCTTCCTTCTCCCTCTTCCAAGGGACGTCCACCTCAAGAGCACGGAGCTCCAAATTCACAAGGTCAATAAGAAGTGGGGTCTGGGTGGGGATCTGCTAGAAGGACTGCTTTAGGGGCTGATGGATACTAGGGGGACCCCTGACACCCATGTACATCTTGAGCCTAATTTTGTAGAAAAAAATATTTTTTGTTTTAAATTTGGAGTACGAATAGAAGGTGTCAATTATCTGGAACCTGGCTTCATGCAGAATAGCCGAATTCCCAAGAATTCCATTCAAACATATTTATTGAACACCTACAATGTACAAGGCATTCTCACCACTTATGGCAGGAGGAGAGTGTGCATAGGGTCAGATTAGATACACCACGTCAGGGTTGATGAGGGGCCACTTGAACCATCCTAGAATCTCACTGGTGGTGGGAGGGTCCCCACCGGGTCACTGGCCAACCTTCCTACCCATAGCAGCAAGGAATGGCCATGGAGAAAAATTGACCGTGCCCTCTAGGTGGAAGAAACTTAGCAGAGGCAGAGGTAGAAACAATCAAAATACACTTTATGATATAAATCCAGAGGTTCTAGTTTGCCAATGTCCTCACTGTTCATAATATGTTCTTACTCCTAGGTAATCCTGGACAACACTCTCATAAATTAACTGTGTGAGGGGAGTGAGGTCAGGAAGCACCCAGGTGTGCCTTGTTCTCCTGGGAGAAAAAACTTTTGGAGGAGGAAGGTGACATCTATGGATGTCTTCAGAAATCACCAGCTGAGGAAATGCAGATAAATTCATGGGGGCAGGCAGCTGGTAGAGACAGTGCATTATAAAAGCCTCCAGGCCCATGGGCTTGGTTTCTGCACTGACCTGGTTTTTGGTTTGAGTGAGAACTTGCACTCTCAGTCAAGGTTTCCCTTGCAGGAAACTTCTGAGTGGCTCAGCAAATGATCTTTTTGTCTTTTTGCCTTCTCTCTAGAACTTCTTGCTCTTGGGGGCTGACATTGATAAGGTTGAAGATTGAGGAGGAGGAGCAACTGTGGCTGGAGCAGTGGACAACGCTACAGCTGGACCTGCCCGTGACCTCGTGGAGGGCCAAAGGCTGTGGCTATTCTGCTTCCTCTTCCTCAGTTTTAAAGAAGCTTGAGCGGTAGTCAATCACCATGCCACACACATTAGACTCAGCACTAAACATGTAAAATGACTTAGTTGTACAGTCATGTGTCACTGAACAGAGACACATTCTAAGAAATGAATCATTAGGCGATTTTGTCATTGTGTAAACATCACAGATGTACTTACACAAACCTAGATGGCGTACCTACTACACACCTAGGCTATACGGTATAGCCGACTGCTCCTAGGCTACAAACCTGTACAGCATGTGACTGTACTCAATACTGTAAGCAATTGTAATACAATGGTATTTGTGTATCTAAATGTATCTAAAAATAGAAAAGGTATAATATAGTATAATAAGGAAAAGAAATTAGCATACCAAAAAGAAATCTTCACCCCCATGTTTATTGTACTCTATTCACAATAGCCAAGATATAGAATCAACATAAGTGTCTCTTGACAGATAAATGGGTAAAGAAAATGTGGCATATATGCACAATGGTATAATACTATTCAGCCATGAAAAAACTAATGAAATCCTGTCATTTGTGGCAACATGAATGAGCCTGGAATACATTATGTTACGTGAAATAAGTCAGGCACAGAAAGATAGATATGCATATGTGGGAGCTAAAAAACATAAGTTGAATTTTTAGGAGTGTAGAACTGTGATTACTAGAGGCTGGAAAGGGGAGGGGGAGGGAGGATAGGGAAAGTTGGTTAATGGACACAAAATTATAGCTAGATAGGAAAAATAAATTCTAATGGTGTATACAGTAGTGCTAGGCATCTAAAATTAACAGTAATTTATTGTGTGATCTCAAATGGCAAGAAAAGAGGATATCAAATATTCTTGTCACGAAGAAATGATTAAGTTTTGTGATGATGAATATGCTAATTACCCTGATTTGATCATCATACATTGTATATATATATATATTAAAACATAATTCTATACCCCAAAATATGTACAATCAACACATTCAATTAAAAATAAAATCCTTTGGGCCGGCCCAGTGGCGCACTGCTACAGTGCGCCACTTGGGAGTGCGGCAGTGCTCCCGCCGAGGGTTCGGATCCCACATACAGACCAGTTCCCGCTCACTGGCT